CTCACTAATTTAAAATGAAATCAATAAGATGTTGTCTTGTTTTGCAGTTTTAGTTCTAATAATTATTTCCCATCAGGGCAACAGGAATAGTAAAGAATAGTAAGCAACATTCAACAGGCTGTACTTGGCAAAACTGATGGTATCTGAAAGCCTAGAACTTGTATTTGGCAGACTGTTAATTAGCAGAAAGATTAGGAAGCTGAATTGCTATAGAGAAAAGAGAATCTACACTAAGTACTGTATATGATACAATATATGAAAAAAAAACCAGCAGTAGAGATAAAAGGGCCAATGGTGTATGTGCGTGAATAAGACCAAAGAAGAAATAATGGATTAGAATCACAGAAAAAAGCTACTTATATTAGGATGAGGTCTAGATGTGAAGCAGAAAGCAACAGTGTGAGATCAGAACATTTAGTGAAGGGAGAAAGAATCAATAGCTAGTTGTTCCCTTATAGTACAAGAAAATTGCTGATCTGATTGCTAATGCAGAGTAGTACTGAGAATTTAGTAGCTCTATTGTGGTACACGCTTGTGCACTTGACTTTGCTTGTCACAAGATCACAGAAGATGATCACACGACACTGGAACATTGCAACTGGCATAAATATGAACCGGTTGTCAAGCATCCAAATTTTGATCATGTGACCATGGGGATGCTGCAACAGTCCTAAGTGTGAACAATGGTCATAAGTTACTTTTTTCAGTGCCATTGTAACTTCAAACGGTCACTATATGAATGGTTGTAAGTCAAAGACTATCTGTAACTGGTGGGGAAGGAAAGATTTATACCCTTTTCAGCCAGTTCCACCAGTTAGTTAGAATTGAAGATGCTTCTTGGAAGACAAGCAAAACGTCTTCAAGAAAAATCAAGAAAGTCCAGTTGCTATTTGAAAAAAGCACCTTTGGAACACCCATGACCTGGATGACTGAGAATCTCCATAGACATGAAGGGGCACAGTACTGTGCAAAACAATAATGAAGCATGTTACTAATGCAGAACCTTTCTTACAGCCTCTGGTAATTAGACACCGGAGCTGCAGCCGCAAACTCTGGTAGAAAGGGATTGTTTAGTTCCAGCTGGGGGCTAACGGACGTTAGTTCTCAGCTGAACCCTACGCTTCAGGGACCCTACTAAAGTTTTTTCTGGGTTGGTGGAGGGGGGGGAAAGGAAGGAGCCCCTTCCTTAGAGCAATCTAGTTCGGCTCTCCCCCCAAGTCAGGAATTGAGACTGAAGTCTGAAGTTCCTGAATGGGAAAGAAAGAGGAATCAATTGTGAAGGAGCCCAATTTTCGTGCTGAATACAGCACTACTCAGCAAATTTGGAAATGGAAAATCCACCAATAGGGACTGTACCTGCCTAAGAGCCAAAGTTGTACGTCTGTCCTGGGCAAGATCAAGTCAAGACTGGGATCTATGGTCCAGGACGGGCGTGGCAATTTTGGCTGACTTGATCTGATTGGGCAGGAATACAGTCTAAACCCATTGGTGGATTATCCATCTCCAGTGCTGGAGAAACATATTAGCTTATCCTTCTTGGGTGCCTTATGGCTGTATTGATTTACAACTCCCATAAATATCAAGCACATTTTTACTTCCAAAGGCTAAAGCAGAAATTAGAACAGTGTTAAAATATGGAGAACATAATTTACAGCTCAAAGCATCATAGACTTTCCCTTAATCTTCGGTAGAGCTTCCAAAGTCCTCCCAACGTTGCCACTAGATTATAATATTTAGTGTTTACTACAGAGGAAAACTGCATCGGCAAAAATCATATTATTTTTCATTCATTAAATGTAGTCATAAATCAAATTTAATTTCTGACATGCTTTAGTCTTTTTGTTCTAATCCCATTATCTGAAATACAGCCTATGAAAATTGGGGATAGCCTTTGTCCCCAAAGTTATGTACCTCTGAACTAAAATATCATAACCATATGTTTGCAGCTCCATGTGACCAGTACAAAACCTACACACTTGTTTAGGCAGCACTTATTTTCATTTCCATTTATGCAATGCTTCAGATTAATTTGGCTGTCATCCAGAATGGAATAATTCCCACACCAAAATTATTGTATAAATTAAATTATCTTTACATTAGAACTATAAAAATTTACAATCATTCCAGTATGGATTATAATTACAAAATAACTAAAAATTGAATTACTATCATGGAGTATAAAATACTAAACCACTAAAATCTGAGTGTTTAAATTATAATTAACTAATGTTAATACTATAGCTATGCACAATATAGTATAGCATAAAACAGTGTGGCACGACTGTTAACATATAAAATGAAATACAATTAAAAATTAAACAAAAAGGTTTAAAACTAGAAATATGCCTGAGGAAATGGCCAGGATTTCTTTGATGTCAGCTTGCCACCTGTTTACTGGATCTAGACCACTCCTATTTAGTAAAAGCAGCCAGAGAGGTGACCCATGGTTGGGTCCGGGCCATTGTGGCAGCCTCTCTGAAGGA